ACATACGTACGTACATACATACATACATACATACATACATACATACATACATACATATATACATATATACATATATACATGCACACGGACACGCACATACACATTTAATCGTCTTCAAAAATTTTCTGTCGTATTCAGTACCCCCGTGTATTTTCTTCTATTGCCGCATTATGTATATACATTCTACAAATAAAGTTACAGGGTAGTCATCCAGGATGCGTCAATCACACCCTTTGGCCTGGTACTGTTGTCTGGCTAACTTCTAATACGTGGTAAAGGCGTCCAGTATTTGGTAAGCATGACAAATGAGTGTATATACGAATGCACATTAATACAGGTATTTCTACGATGTTGCTGTTGTAGAAGCATATCGCCTGGCGTGGCGTGTACTATGTCAAACGCTGCTGTGTGTTGGCTGGAGATAGCCCGATGTAAACTGTAGATTTTCTTGCAGGTATTTTGTACATAAAATACCTGTGCCCAAGAGACCTAAATAATAATAAAAACAACACGATTTGTTTTCTTAAAAAAATCTTTGCGTTCAATTTTTGTAAAGGTTTAACGTTTATGCTATTTATATGGTTCCATCGGGATTTCATCTGGGCCTGGGGTGTCAAATTCTGAATGACGTACATGCAAACGTAGGCCAAAACGGTCCTCAATACGAAGAATGTGGTGCACGCCTATCTGCCAATCCAAACGGTTTAAAATGTTTTTTGTGCCAGATGCCAACCATATCACCAATTTGATTGGACTATATCACTTGTGGCACGGTTCACGCGAAGTGATCTTTCGGATTTCACACGCGAGTGTGGGCAGTTGACACCCGAAAGTGCCTGAAAAGGGGCCAGCAGGCTTTCGACGACTCTGATGGCTCCGATTAGACAATTTTATTTAGTAAGTAAATATATTACAACGCTATTTTGATATAAAAAAATTAAGTGCCGCTAAAAAAGAGGTACGTAAAAGTTATGATATGAAGATAAGCGCCAATCATGCAATGCTTGAATAGTGAATAATTTACGTCTCTGTTGTTTGTCTCTCTACTACTAGAGCGGTGTCTTTCTCTATATTAAACACTCTCATGAGTTTGCAGCTCACATTTTGTAATTAACGGTCCTGTACTTGTAGCACAGGTATGTTTAACCCGCTTTTTAACCTACATCGAATTCAATGCAATTGAGTGCCTACCTGCGAACTTGTTCCTTCAATCTACTTGCTATTTCGATTTATCTCTATGATTTCTACTAGACTTGTAGGCATACAAAGTTATGATTTGCATCGATAACTTACAAAAACTAACCTGATCTTGTTCTATTTTTCTTGCATCTCGAATCCAATCTGCAGACCTAAATACTCAAGCATTTTCTTTGCGAGAGCAGTCATCATAGTGCCTAAAAAGAAACACGTAGCACCATAGCAAACTAAAGAAAACACTATGAGTGATTCACTTAAACACCTCCGCGATACATCGGAAGCCAAGGGCGGGTTTGCCGATTCCGCTGACCAGTCCGAATGGACAGCACAGAAATGGATCTGGGTAAAAGATGAGGCAGATACCTTCATTGCCGGTAATATAACCGAAGACAAGGGAGAGACGTACAGTGTGCGCCTAACTAATGGAAAGGTAGTTGAGATCAACAAGAATGATTCCTACAAAATGAACCCACCCAAGTTTGAAAAGGTGGAGGACATGGCCGAGCTCGCATACCTTAACGAGCCGGCAGTACTGGACAACCTCACCAAGAGGTACCAGTCCAACCTCATCTACACATACTCTGGTCTTTTCTGTGTAGTGGTTAACCCCTACAAGCGCCTTCCTATCTACACACCCGATGTGGTTGATATGTACCAGGGCAAACGCCGCCAGGAGATGCCTCCCCACGTCTACAACATTGCCGACAGCGCCTACCGAAACATGCTCAATGATCGCGAGAATCAATCCATCCTGATCACCGGCGAGTCTGGTGCTGGCAAGACTGAGAACACAAAGAAGGTCATCCAGTACATCGCCGCTACAGCCGCAGGGCCTGACAAGGGTAAGGGCCAGCTGGAGGAACAGCTTCTGCAGTGCAACCCTGTACTCGAGGCCTTCGGTAACGCCAAGACCATTAAGAACGACAACTCGTCGCGATTCGGAAAGTTCATCCGCATCGAGTTCGACCGATCAGGTCTCATCTCCGGTGGAAACATCGAGACGTATCTGTTGGAGAAGTCACGTGCCGTCCGCCAGCAGAACGACGAGCGCACGTTCCACATCTTCTACCAGCTGTTGCATGGCGCCACGCCCGAGATGAGACAGGAGCTTCTGTTGGACTCAGTTGATGCCGTGCCCTTCCTCTCAGATAAAGCATCCTCGAGTGTTGAAGGTGTGGATGATGTTGCCGAGTTTGCCATCACCACTGAGGCTATGAGGGTTGTAGGCATCAACGACGCGGATCAGACCGAGGTCTGGCGCACCCTCTCAGGCATCATGAAGCTTGGACAGATGAAGTTCACCCAGGACCGATCTGACCAGGCCCAGATGCCCGATGACACTATCGCCGCCATGGTGTGCAAGCTGTTCGGTATCCCACTGTCCGACTTCACCAAGGCTATGCTTAAGCCCCGTATCAAAGTGGGACGTGATACCGTCACCAAGGCACAGCGTGCCGATCAGGTGGTGAGCTCCATCGAGGCCATTGCCAAGGCCATTCACGAGCGCACCTTCTTGTGGATTGTCAAGAAGATCAATGCCGTATTGGACACGCGTCGTGCTGCGTCGAGTTTCATCGGTATTTTAGATATCGCGGGTTTCGAGATCTTCAAGGTCAACTCCTTCGAGCAGTTGTGCATCAACTTCACCAACGAGAAGCTGCAGCAGTTCTTCAACAACCACATGTTCGTGGTGGAGCAGGAGGAGTACAAGAAGGAAGGCATCGACTGGCAGTTCATTAACTTCGGCCTTGATCTGCAGCCGTGCATAGACCTTATTGAGAAGCCCATGGGCGTGCTCGCTCTGCTTGACGAGGAGTGCCACTTGATGCCTCGCTCGTCCGATTCGACGCTAGTTGAGAAGATGGACAAGGCGCACTCCGGTAAGTCCGATAAGTACCGCAAGTTGGGAGGCAAGATCAAACGTGACGATGTCGGGTTCAACTGCCAACACTACGCCGGCGAGGTCGAGTACACGTGCGACGGCTGGCTGACCAAGAACACGGATCCGCTGAACGACAACATTACGGCGTTGCTGTCCCAGTCTACCAACCCCTTCACCGCGTCTCTGTGGGCGGATATGGTCTCGCACGACACCACGCGCTCGCGCCGCGGTGGCTCCATGCGCACCGTGGGCCAGAACTACCGTGACCAGCTCAACAGCCTCATGACCACGCTGCGTAACACCACGCCTCACTTTGTGCGGTGTATTATACCGAACCACGAGAAGAAGGCCGGCAAGATCGACCAGGCCATTGTGCTGGACCAACTGCGCTGCAACGGTGTGCTGGAGGGTATCCGCATCTGCCGCAAAGGGTTCCCTAACCGCATCCTCTTCCAAGACTTCAAGCAGCGATACGAGATCCTCACCCCAGGAGCCGTGCCAAAGGGCTTCATGGACGGCCGCAAGGCGTGCGAGAAGATGATCGAGGCGCTCGAGCTCAGCGCGGATGAGTTCCGCATTGGCTCGTCCAAGATCTTCTTTCGCACCGGCGTGATTGGTCAGCTGGAGGAGCAGAGGGACGAGAAGCTGTCTGCGATGGTACGCCATCTACAGGCACACTGCCGTGGACTTCTGGCGCGCCGCCAATACCGTCGCGCCACCAACCACGAGGTCGCGGTCAAGATGATCCAGCGCAACTGTCGCAAGTACCTCATGCTGCGCTCGTGGCCGTGGTGGAAGCTGTTTGTGCGTGTACAGCCGCTGCTTAAGGTGACCCAGGAGGATAACCTCAAGAAGGAGCTGGAAGACGCCAAGGCGTCGGCTGAACACAGCGCCAAGCGCGAGCAGGAGCTGCAAGTCCAGTTTGACGAGTTACACAACGAGAAGAACGGACTCAAGTCTGACTTAGACCGTGTGCAAAACGAGCTAGACTCGTGCAACGACAGTATCGACCGCTTCCAGACACGGTCTGAACAGTTGCTCAAGGAGGTGGAGGGTCTAGAAGACCAGCTGGAGGAGGAGAGTAGCCGGGCCGATAACCTCATGACGGAGAAGAAGGCGCTCCAGGCCAAGCAGTCGATTGTTGAGGCCGAGATGGCCGATGCTCAACAGCGCGCAGAGAAACTTGCTGGCGAGAAGGTTAGTCTGGAGGAGAAGCTCTCCGCGGTTGAGACTGAGTTGTTATCGGAGAAGGATGCCAACGAAAAGTTGACCAAGGACAAGGCGTCGCTCGAGTCACAGCTCAGCACACGCTCTGAAGAGCTTGCAGCGGCCGAGGAGAAGTACAAGTCCCTGTCCAAGGCCAAGAGCAAGGGCGATGGATCGCTGGCAGAGATCGAGGAGCGTTTGGCGACCGTCGAGGCCGAGCGCAGCGACCTACAGACGCAGAAGCGCAAGATCGACGCTGAATTGGCGACGCTACGCGACCGTGTCGCTGAGCTGGAGAAGCAGGTGGCGCAGTTACAGGCGGAGGTTGAGCGCAAGACCGCTGAGGTGGCCGCCACACAGGAGCAGCTAGACGCGGAGAGCGAGAAGGTGTTTGCGGTGCAGAAGGAGAATCGCGAACTTACCAGCCAGGTCGAGTCGCTCCAGGAAGAGCTTGAGTCTGAGCAGGTATGTATATATATATATACACGACTATGTATGAGTGCACGCGCTTGTAGCGTGTAAAGTGTTGTGTACCTGTCGCTACGCAACAAAGGCAACTATTGATTTAGAGACTAGATACACGGATGTACGTTCTAGTATCATGTGAATTAAGGCAGAATATATACACGCATGTAAGTTCAAGTATATATATATATATATATATAATACATAACATATTATATAT